AAAAAAAAAAAAAAAGAAATAGATAAATTAACAAAGCAGGAGTCCTGACTCATTCATCTGAAAGAATGATTAATGACCAAAACTGTTTTTCATAATGAAGCTACAGATAAATGAATTACTCAAAAATAGAAGGTTTTAGATCAAAACAGTTTCTCAGGACAATTAAGAGTAATAAAGAGAAGCCCTGGGAACTTAAATGAGTTTAGTGATAAGGCAGTAAACAAAGACCAGAAATGACTTTGAAACGCAGGCCATTCTATACCACAGACACTCATAATATCTGGGGTTTGGCATGATGGCACAAAATACAGATGGTGATGTTTCTTGAGATTCAGTAACACTAGCATTGGTTCAAACTCTAGGTCCATTTCAAGTGACAGTAGGGAAATAGGATTCAGGAACAAAATGAATGACAGAGGAAGCCAATCTGAGATCAAACATTTGCCCTGGTAATCCATACAGAGATAATCAAGATGTAAAATGGATGTAGGATGATAAAACCACTTTAAAATATTCTAATGCAAGAATTCTTTATGCTTTAAAATGTTATATGGCAATATAGATGATAGGACATATAAATTTACCATGGTTTTGAATTACCAACATTAAGATCTTTGCTTATTGTTAGGCTTTTTTTATATTACAGAAATATGAAATACTAAAGTGTGATTAAGTCTCTTTTAAGGGGCTAGATTTTGCCTTACCTTTACTACCTTGTAGTCACACAAGTATTCCACCTCATAATTGTTTAGATTCCTTTTGGTGATTCCAATCGATTTACATGTGAGCTTTTCTTTTCTACATAATTCCTGAAGAGTATCAAGTGAAACTAGGCAAGGCACACACCAAGCTACAATAAGAAAATAGAATTCTTTACTAATGAAATAGCTATTCAATTAAAACAAAAAAGAGAAACTTAAATCTCTATATCCCCAACCCCTCAACTGGCAATTTTATAGTCTAAAAGTCCATATGGCAAGAGACCAATTGTATGTTTAAGAAAAATTAAGCATTAAAGAACTATTTTGGTCAACTGATTTTCTTCAATTTTCTCTAGGTTACTAATCCTACCATGTTTAACTGACATCAGTTAATTTCTACTAAGCCAGCTAAGCAAACAAAGTATTTCACGTCTATAACCTTTCTGACGATTACATACAGATGCACAGATAATCAGTGGTAATGGTCTTGACTTTTCCATTATTCTCTATCCTACATAGAACATAATTGCTGTTTTAATACAACAGATCTCTAGGATATACTAGATATATTTTAAAATAATCATAGTTTGCAAAAAGTAACTTTTTTCATTCTTTTAGCTGAACAGTAAGAACTAAAATCTAACTGAAATACAGTTCTATAATTACAAACTCCTATACCCTACTTTTCCCACTTTGCAATGTTGCATGAAATTTTAACTCCACTCTATTTTTTCCACGGTGTAATATATTATCAAGATCAATAAACCCAAGAATTATTTTAAGGTGGAGATTATATAATAATTTTATACTACTCATTTCCTGTAGTTTTTAAAGCTAAGAGTTGCAGAGTATTCAAGTTTTTCATATCACAATTGAATATCAGCGAACTCACAATTTTACAGAAGGCAGATACTAATTGGACTGCAAATTTTACCCTCAAATTTCTGTAAACTGCATGCTACCACATTGAATTTAAAATGCAATTACTCAAACTGATGTTTAGAGAAGTGTAAAGTTGGTTTTATGGCTAGTGTCATGGGAAGCACCAGATCAAGCGTCTTTTCCCCTAGCCCTTTGGTGGGCAACCTAACCATGTGAGTTCAGTGAGGTCTCAATCTTTCTGGGGTGGAGTTCACTGAAAAAAATGTGAGTGCTGGAGAAAACTATGCTTAGCAAACAAAATTTATCAATAACTCGAGCTTCACCTGGTAGCTCTCCACTGTATGGCAATAACATTTTGTATTGTGAGGTAATTTCCAAGGAACAGGGAATACAGCTGCTCTAACTTCACTAGGAGATCCCTCCCTCACCCTCCCTAAGTCACACAGGGGCCTGCCTTATTGTTAGAAAGCATCAAGCACAGCTTGCACTACTCTACTCGCTGCAAGCGACTCAAGAAAAGTTCTTTTCCTCAAAAATTTATGCAGAGGCGTTTGACTGCTCTGGAGCGGTAGTTTGGGGGAGAAAACTGATCTCATAAATCCATCTAAAAATCTCAAAAGATGTTTTGTATAAAGTGAATCTTTTTGCGCCAATAACCCCAATGTGTTTGATGTTTCTAAAAATTTATACCTAAAGATTTTTAAAAATGCAAACACTTGGTTAAAAGAAATTGACGGCTTGTAATAACGAAGAAAACAATTTCGATGGTTAGATTAACTACAGCCTCACTGCCACAACACCCCCTTGGCGAGGTCAACCCGCGGTCACCCCGCCGCTTCCAAAGGAGAGGTTCAGGATAACGAGGAGGTCAGTGTGCGCGGAGAGGAGGGTCGCGAAAACACCTTCGATTCCAGAACGCACTCCGAGCTCCAGCTTCCGAAGGGGGCGCGACACCCACACCCACACGCGCGCCCGGCGTCCACGCGGCTGACAGCAAGTTGGTGGTGGGCGGAAAGTTCCGGAGGAGGCCGGCT